AATATTTATATTTAAAATATTTATATATAGAGATGTCCATATTTATATTTAATTTGGAGCTCATAAAATGCCACGATCAACTCCATCTATTATATAGTATCCAACAAATAGACATCAAGGATATAACTAGAATATATAATTTTTTTATATAAAAAATATAGAATTTATACTTACTATTGTGGTCTTTCGCTAGTAGAATAACTCTAATGGTTGTAATTAATTAGAATATATTTATGAGCATAAAATTTTCATTTGTTATTTGAAAATAAAAGTTATTAAAATGGAATAAAAGTATCTGGGAAGCTATAGTGAGTTGCTGAAAAACACGAATGCAAGAACACGTGGTTTGCCCTAGCCAAGCTAGGGCTACATATTCTGCTATATGTACAGCCAGTGACTGATACAACGAAAGAAAGGGTATACAAACAAACCCCCGCAACGCATGCGTGTTCGACTCTGTCGGTGTATTTCTATACCAAGTGTCCACATTTTTTACGTATGTGTATGTCTATTCATCCACGTACATTAATACACTGCCTCAACTGGCTCAACATAACAGCAACAACAAAAGGCAAGATAAAGTTTATGCTCACCGCAGCAATGAGCTAGTCAATGACTTTCAAAAGGTCTAATATTTTTATTTATATCACACTCTTGTTTATTAAATTATTTTTTTAATGTATCAAATGGGCAGAAACTTATTTTAAAAGCATGCATTAGTTATTGTATATATGATCCCCTGTTTAATTAATTACTTACTGCTAAAAAGCATTCAAAATGATCATATAATTATTGCATATATACATTAATATGTCTAACATTGTACGAGACCTCTTAATTAAGCTAGTGAAAATAAATAACAGCTTGATTTTCCATGAATAAAGTATCAGTCTTAAACAAAGGACTTGCAAATATATACTACTTCATTGGCAGCACACATTTTATTCAGGAATCTTGTATAGCATCATGAGCAATCAGCCTTAGGTTTTGGTGCAGATTGACTGCTAATGATGTTATACAATTTCCATGAATTTTCCTCTCTGTATGCTGCCACATATATTTAATATATATGCTAATCCAATAGTAAAATTAATTAATTAATAACCCAATCTACCGAAATCCCCCACCAAAAGCATGAGACCAATAATCAGCTCCATTCTCACTTCCAACTTGCAGTGTGCATGAAACTGGAACAAGGCACAACCCTCTGCTCTTCAGGTCCTTCTTTGGTTCTTCTTGAGAATCCTAATAAATTAACAACCAAAAAACAAGACAAGTAATTAAAATCAAAAGATATTATTCATTGAATTAGTTTGATCATCATCAGAGAACAAAAAAATTACTGAACAATTAATTAATTACCTGCTCACTAGCTGCTTTCCTCTTCAAACAGTTTTCATTCACCAACTATAACCAGAAATTGAATAAAATCAAGTTAGATTAATTTGACAAGTGTTCAAACTGTATATATAACTAATAAAATGCAGTAAATTAATCGAAGTCTCATATTAGAATGATATTATATATTATTATATCTAATAAAGCTGGTGACATTTCTCTTTAATTGTCTAGCTACTTTCTTCATTTAATATAGAATGCAAGTTGAACCGGTGGCTGAGCTTCTTTTCCAAATGCAAAATCCCCAAACCCCTTTAAGTGGTTAGTGGATCCAAGGAAAAAGCATACCTGACCAGGGTCTTCAGGGAATATACAATTCTTCTCTCCTTGAACCTAACATTAAACAATTACAATCATCACTCAATTAGTACAACATAATTACCCATTAATTAGCATACATGCTGGCGCACATGCAAGAAAGGGAGAAAGAGTGATTATTAATTTAACTTTTTCTCATTGCTTTGGGGAGTGAGAAATGGCTTTATGTATGTGTGCTAACCAGAAAAGGGTTGATATTATTTCTTACAGATTGTTGGTGCCTCATGTTTCCTGATCCACTGCCCAAGTATGGTAAGCTAAGGGCCTGCATCCAAAGAGAATATTTTTAAAACTTCAAAAACTAAAGTGTATATATATGTGTGTGGGGAAGATTAGAACAACGTGAAATAATGGACTTTATTTTAAAAGCTAACGTGGCATCACTGTTCACTGACCCTCGTGGTTGTTTGAAAAAATCAACAGAGGAGAATGAACATTAATTACCTCAATTTGACTCTGAAGGAATCTGATATACCCAATAGCTTCTAATAAGACAGACGCCGTGTCAGTCTGCAAAAGTTAAAAAAATACCACACTACAGTATATTAAACAAAGACCATATTGTTTTCTCTAAAAAAATGTGTAAAAAATATATGCTAAAGAAAGAGGGGATGGGGCAGATGAAAAACAAGAAAAAAGTATATATCGTTTTCTTCAAGATTTTTTTCATTACTATTTTGGAGCCAGGGAATTAACGAGCATGGATTTAAAAACTATTCTAGGTTTTTCTATGAAGGTATTTGATACTAGGCTTATACCTTTCCAAATGGGGAAACGAGTTGATGAAGGGCTGTAATTCTGTCACCTAACTTCTCCTTCCTAACCTGAAATGGACAATAGGCACATGCTTAATATGTTGGCTTATGTTGATTCTTTATTTAAAATAAATTATAAAAATTTAATAATTAAAAAAAATGAGTGGGAACATGACAATCAAGAAAAACAACAGTGACCACCCACACACATGTGATGTTTGTGGGCGGTTATGTGTGTTGGTTTGCCTGAAAAAGAGTTCGTCGTTGGAAGTTTCTGTCTAATTGTTTGCAATCGATGAAAATACCTTGAAGGTCGACTGAGTTGTGGTCGGTTGAACCCTAGCTTTCTTGAATGCCCCACCAGCTGCACTGCTATTGCACTTGAGATAAAAATAAAAATAAAATAAATCTTGTTAAAACTATAATGCAAAGAAAGAAGAAACCCAAAAGAAAATATAGTTTGTTTTATATAGAAAGAATAGAAGATAAGAAGCAAAGCAATCCATTTTTTGATCTATAATAAAGATAGAATATTAGAACCGTTATACATACGTATCCATTTTAAAAAAAGTAAAGTTGGAGGACCGAGGACCCATGCCTTTGGCGTATATATATATAGATATAATTATTGGAAAATAAAATTTGCAAATATTCTTCAATAAGAAAGCATTTCGGGGGCTATATTCAAAGGTTAATTCCAATTGTCTGTTGGTTTTAGTAAAGTTTCACGAAATGTGTAATCAACTGGAACCAAAACCCAGAAAAGAAAAAGAAAAATAAGGAATTAAATTGTAGATTCTGTCTTAATTAATTAATATGTAATTTGTTATTATACCTCTGAGGATGGATCTGGTGGAGGAGGCCTGGCATCTGTGTTAGAGAAATCCAACATGCTGCTGCTGAAACTTGTTACACTGGATTTAGGAGAAGAAGAAGGCACTATTTGAGACCATGTTGGCTTTGCTGCTTGAAACTCTTCATTTCCATGTCCATACACATAGCTGTTCACGGAACTTTCTTGCTTAATAGAAGCACTTGGAGCCTGACTCAGCATTTGTTCCTCCCAGTTCTCCAACTTCTTAGACTCAACCTGGCACATGCTCCCTTTCTCTTCTTCAGGCACCAATATCCCACTCCTATATATTTCCAAAAACAAAAACAAGTTAGATATTTGATCCTTAAAACAATCAAATCAACATATATACATATAAGTCTTGTCATGCAATCATGTGGGGTGTGTGAGAGAGAAAGAGAGAGTATATAATTACATGAGTAGCTGGCTCCATGACTCGGGTAGGTCTTGATTGTTGTCAAGCCAAGAAGGAAGAGGAAGAGAAGAAGTGGGGTTATAAGGAGTTAAAAAGTTGGAGGGAGTGGAGAAGAAAGGAGGAGAGGGTTGAGGAGGTTGAGGAGGAGGAGGAGGAGGAGGAGTGTTGATGTTCCACCAGTTGTTAGGGTTTCCGGCCATCATTTGTTGCACCGGTGAGCTTTGCAAGACACCTCTATTCATGCCTTTTCTTTCTTAATTTCTATGATCTCGATCTAGCTACAAAAGAGAAAAAGAAGCTCTAACTCTCTTTTTTTGATGTTGTTGTTCCAATTCCAAGCCCAAACAGGGTCTTTGCTTTGTAGATACTTTGAGAGAGGTCCACCCCTTGTGGTTTGATTAAGTAGGGGGAACACTACTACTACTGCTTGGTACTGTTTTTGAGAGAATTTGAATAATCATAGAGTTTTGAGAACCTTTTGTCTTTGTTTTCTCTCTTTTCTTTATTGCTTTTCTTTTCTTTCTTTCTTCCTTTCCCCTAGCTAGCTTGCTTTTGCTTTATCTTAAAGTGGGACAGAAAAGGTGGTAGCAATTCCCATAATTAAGAAAACCAATATATGCGTCTAACCATAGCCACTCTCCACTGCACGATTTTTGTATCACATCTCACACGTGGCGTGCTACGGACACTTGTACATTGCATTGCAAAAACCCTTTTAATAGATGAGACGTCTCAAATTTGAGAAATTTTATTTGACTTATCCAACCAAGCACTCAAACCTTCTTATCCATCGCCATTCATTGAGCACTTGTCAATCAGTTTATTAGTTGTGTCTTATATTATTATTTTTGTATCAAAAGGTTATATAGTTACTACTAATTCTTCTTTCTAGTCTGTAGAAAGAAAAAAAAAGGTTACAGGCTTACAGCTAGGTAATTAATGATTGTTAATGAATTACGAGTCATATGTATTTAATTGTGTATCATCGTTTTTTTTAATTACATATTTACATGTGCTGTTACTGTAAAAAAAATATATATATATATACCATATATTAATCAATTAAAATAAATAAAAATTGTAAAGATATATACTTCATAGTATTTTTAACAAAACAAAACAATCATATACGGTATGCATATATAACCAAATTAATTTACCTGTATTTTGGCTTGCTGATCGAAATTGGGATGGAGAAGAAATTCTACAACATATAATTACATTTAAATTTATTTATTAATTTTGGTAAAAATATATAAGAGTTCTGTATATAGAAGAAACAGAAGCCAATATCAAAGTGTACTTGCTTTTATGTAAAAGAAAATTCATGGGAGGGCGGAATATGAGAAAGAAAGTGATTATCATTTAGCTTCCAATTAAAAGTATCTAAGTAATATAATTTAAATATGTGTTATTTGTTACGAATTCTTTCCCAGGAAAAGACACGAATTTGCTGCCATTAATGTGACCAAAGCATGAACCAAACCAATCATCACTTAAAACGAAAAGCTGAAATGGCATTCATTGGTTTGTGCGTCGTTTTTATGATTTTTTTTCAATAAATATTATTTTTAGATAAACATAACTTTTAAATATATATTCTTCAAAAGATAAAAATATAATTGTTTATATGTGTTTAATGCTTTTAATTTTGTGATAAATTTTATGGACAAAATCAAATTAATTAATTAATCAATTAAAAACATGGTAACTTTTTTATATGTTCACGTGCACAAGATGTTAAATGTGACCAAAGTTACGGGGAAGTTTTCCTAACATTAAGAATAAACAAGATCTCCCAATTCTTGAATTGTTGCATATTTACAAGTGCTTATAGCAGAAAAACTAAATAAAAAAATGAAACAAGATAAAATAAAATTTTAGAAAAGCAATATGAAACACTTTCATATGGGACTCACTCATTACTTAGAAAAGAAAAGGAGAAAATAGCATGTCACAAGAGCGATTCAAGATTTGAAACCCTACAGTAAGAGAGATGCCTTGTGAGCCAAATTTCTAGAGATAAATTGTGTTTGGCAAAGTAAAATCAACATTATGCTACCAAGCCCAAGAAGAATTTCTACATATTGAGCCATTCTGTTTAGAACTAAAAATAATATTATTAAAAATGTTTTTTAATTTGAAAAAACACTACATAAACACATCAAATTAAAAATAGAAAATTACTTATTTTATTTTAAATACAAATACACATATTTATCATTATATATATAATGATAAATATATATATATATATATATATATATATCATTATATATATATATATATAATAAGTATTCAACAACCAACAAAATTAGTCGCTTAATTCTTCATTTTAATTGCTATTAAGTCCGGTGACTAAATTAATGCAATTTTGCTGCTAAAAGCCTAGTAGTTGGTGTTATATATCAACAAGCAAAATTTTATTCATTGCTATTTTGACGACTGAATTAACGACCAAATGATATGATCAATAAAATATAATAAAAAAAATTAAAATTAATTTTTTAGTTACAAAAATTGGTTGCATTAAACAAGACAACTAATTTGAGAAGTACACAGTTTACCTTGACGATACTTATATTCAATTATTACATATAGTGAGGAATGAAATACTGATCTTTGATAGCATTAACAAATAGGTTTTTAATGACAAATTCTACTAGTTGTTAATTAAATCGTTGATAAATTCTGACCGTTGATAGTATTAACAAAAAGGTTTTAAATGACAAATTGTACTGGTCGCTAATTCAATCGTTGATTGTAAATTTGTAATAGCCACTAAAATAGACAATTTAGCAACTATTTTTTTTTTGGTTTCTTAATTTATTTATTTTTTTGTTGAGGACATATCCTTGAAGAGGATGGAAGATCTTTAAATATTACTAACTCTCACACGAAAGCATGAGAGAGTGAGAGAGAAAAGTTCATTGGTACTAAATTTGTAGAATTACACAAAATCCAAACCACTAAAATAAATTTGTTTTACAAACTTTTCCTATCATTATCATTAATAATTATTTTACAAACTTTTCATATCATAATCATTAAATTAAAATATAATAAAATTGGATATTTTAAATTTGTATTTCATTTAAATATGTTTTATTCTCTGTTAAATTATTAAGTTTTGATTTTATTCTCTATAAAAAAAATTATTTATTTTGCTTTTTTTTATTCTCTTTAAAAGAAAATTTTATTTTTTATTTCTTTAAAATTTGTAATTACTATTTTAGTTTCTATTATTTTGTGATCTTTGTTAATTACTTATGTGTTTATCAAAAGATAAAATAACCATCGATCCTAGATCTACGGTTGTCTATGATATTATACAATATGTGGCACTTTACAAAAGAATTATAAATTCTTAAAATAAATATTATTAATCTACTTTAAAATTAATGTTAGATACAAAAATTAGAGAGTTTACATTAATTTTAGAGAAATAAAGATCAAAATATTTTATAGAAATAAAAATAAAAATTTGTTCATTTTTCAATACTAAAAACAATTATTTCAAAATTTAAAAAGTAATTAAAGATAAATAAAAAAATTATAAAAATTAAAATTCGCTGACAGTAATAGTGAAAACTTTTTTAAATGGATGCAGTTTACCTGCGCAATTAATCCTCTTTCCGTTTTATTCTTCCACCATGATGACCCATATTGCATTGCAATTGCATGTATGATGCGTTGAAAATTGTATACATTAGTCAATGAAAATTACTTTGTTAACGATTCTATCATTCTATCATTGACCAATGACAAACAACTTGACAATGGCGTAATACTCTCAACGAGTTCTGTAATCATTTTATGTGAGGCTGCCTCTTGCATTAACTTTCAAGTGTAAACACAAAATTCAGTCTATGATAGGAGTGTGTTAATTAACTTTTCCAATTTATGTCACAAATTAACAAAGTAGTTAATCAAATCTAAGACATTAACATCATCAACCTTAGTGCACGTTGAAGAAAGCGTTGGTATACGTAAACTTGATTTGAATAATTTTTATTCTATATTGTGTTTATTTTATATAAAAGTATATTAAATAATAGATTATATATTTAATTTACTAAGAAATTATTATTTTTATTGAATAAATTTATTATTAATAATTTAAAATTATATTTAACTATAAATAAAACTTTTAAATGCAATTAACTTATGTAATAATATTATATATTGTAGTGTTAAAAAGTTTTACTTCAAAATAATAGATGCTTTAGTAGTTTGAATAATGAAGTTTACCTGGATAGTTATGAGTTATAATTATCATGAAGTCACTTTTTAGTTTAAAATTATATGAGAATAGAAATATAATTTAGTCAAAAAAAAAAAAAAACAACGACGTTGTTTTTTATTTGCATAGGTGAGTACTTCTTGCAATTTTTTTTTATCGGCAAAGATAGATATATATTATAAAGGTAAAAGTACCAAAAATTCGTACACGAGTACTTCTTGCATGCATGAGATATATATATAGTCTAAAATAGACACAAAATTATATTTTTCTTGTTTTTTAAAAAATAAATGATAAGATCGTACTTAAATGATTTACATAACATTTACACACGTTGTTTTAATAACAAATAATTATCCTATTAAAATTTATTACTTTATAATTCATATTCATAATTATTCCGTTTTGGAGGACGTATAAGATTTATTCGAAGCGAGTCATCAAAGTCAAAGTATTCAAGAATGTAATTTGTTCTCTTATTAGATCTAGAGTTTGAGATTTTATAATTACTTATTCGTGAATTTAATGGATCTCAAAAATATCATATTTTTTAAGATGATTTTAATATTGTAATATTTGGCTATTAAAGATAAGATTTTATTCCAAATACAATTTTCTATAATAAATTTATTCTAATAGAGTTAAGGAGGTAGTTTGCATTAAAAAACCAGCCTACTTTCGATCCTTTTGGTATCTCCTCTCGGCTCAATCTTCAACATGTTCGACCAAAGATCTCGACTAAGGTCTCTCAACAAAATCATCTCGAAATTTATCTGGAATGGTATACTTGCTCTCCGATCCTAAGTCTAGAAGGTTAAAGAGCTTGAGTAATAGTTACCACACTTGACACCTCTTGACAAAATCATCTCAAAATTTATCTGGGATACTACAATAATAAATATTTTTTAACATGAAAATTTGAAACCTTAAATAACTCAAAACTTAAATCAATATCCTTATCGGCTTTGTAGTTATCGTGTCCCCGAGGAACCCAAGTGGCGAGGGGAAGTTGCCCGATACCAATCCAAGATACCAAGAAATTAAGAACTGTGACGCTGCTTTAATTAAGACATTTCTTTTGGGTATGCCTAATTAACTAAAGCAAGATACCATCAACTATCTTATTACTGCTTCAGCAACTAAGACCGATTCAAACAATTAACACGTGTGGAATAATTTTCAATTTTTATATCTTTGATTTAATTATAATCTACCAACATACTTATACAATATTCCATTTCTGTAAATCCAAAAAAAAAAAACCTCAAATTTTATATTGATTAAAAA